CTGATGTTCCTCTTCCGAGGACTGCAAGGCCCTCATTCTGATTCACAGTGATTCATGGTTCTCTTCCTTTTCTCTCGACACCCCCTCCACCGAAAACAGAAAAACACAATTGAGAAACAGCACAGCACAGCTGAACGCTGTGGACTCCCTGTAAGTCAACATGTGGGCAATTTCCCCCCAGGACTTGGCTGCTCTCTGAACCTCAGCAGCAGCCCTGCAAACTCAGGTGGAGGTTTCTGAAGCAGAACACAACCTGGGAAACAACCGGTAAATGCGGCCCTGGTGCCCTGCCCAGGATGTGCCAGGCGGGTGCGCTGCTGGTGGCTGCTCTGAAGGGAGAAGCAGCAGCCTGCGGCAACACACAGCTCAAGCCACGCCCCTTCCACCTTCCCATCCCAAATGGAGGGAAAAGTCTGGCTGCAGACCCTCACCATCATTCAGTCACTTTAATGGGCTGGTGAGAGCAAAACAAACCGTCATGAACTACTGGGTTTACTACTCCACCAGGGTCACCCAGGCCTGAGCATGCAATCATCAACTTACTTCATCACTGCCCAACCAGTCCCACTGCGAGGAGAGCCAAGGCTTGCTCTGTCCCCACCCTCTCCTCCTGGACTGCCACTGGCCACTGCTCATCGCCTGACCCGCAGAGCACCTTGCCGTGCACTGCAGGTGAGGTTCATACTCACACCGGGTGTGACCTCAGATGGCAGACACTTCTGTACTTGCTACCAGGGATTCCTCCTGCAGAAGAGAAGGCTGCTGCCTGGGCCACAGGTAGAAACAATAATCATCTGCTAGACAGGAAGCTTGGGGGCGGGGGAGCCAGCCATCTCACTGGCTGCTGCACTGGGGACACTGGAGCCGTGAGGCTCCTGCCTTCAGAGTGCTGGTGCTGTGGTTTATAAACACACACCAGCACCAAGCACGGGGGCAGGCAGTGCAAAACAGAGGGTGCAAGAGGCACAAATGCCACAGTCTATATCGCTGGCAAAACATCAAGCTTCTGGAGTTTTCCTGTATAGCAAAACTAAGTAACTACGGTTTTCTCTAGCGAGTGCTTACTGGGTACTTGGCATTAGGTTTATTTCATGGACATTATGGCATTTTTCATTTCTTGCAACACTGCCCCTGTGGAGAGGCAGAAACTGAGGCCTAGAAAGCTCAGAGGCTATGGAGACACCACTAATAAGCCACACTAAAGCCACATCTCTCCTCCAGGACAAGCCTCGTAAAACTGGGTCTGAAGTTCTTGCAGGCACAATGGACTAAAAGCTGGCGAAGGTCTCTGGGGCTGAACTAAGGCAGGAGATGGCTGGTGATGTAAAGGAAGGCACCAGTTTGGGAGAAATGTCACCAGTGGTTAGAGACAGGAGAACATTTCTAATTAACGGTGGCACCAACAGAGTGGGGGGAAATATTCACCCTATACATCGATTAAAACAGCTAACGTGCTGGGTGTGGTGGCACACATCTGTAATCCCAGCACTCGAGAGGCTGAGGCAGTAGAATTGCCTGGAATTTGAGGCCAGCCTAAGCTACAAAGTAAGTTCAAGGCCAGCCTGAACTAAACAGCAAAACTCTATCTCAAAAAAGATAGACAATAAATAGACAGCTAACATTTGAGCGCACACAACCTTTAAAAACATTTTTTTACAACTAGTTAAGATAGTTGTACTGCTGATTTGTCTGAGTTCACTGAAGAGAAAGGTTTGTGCTGGTATTTTTTGGACAACTGAATGCAGATGTCTTGTGCTCTGGGTGAATGATTTGGGGATGACAATGTGCAATGTATGTACCACTGTTGCCCCCAAATTGATGTGTCTTGAAATTTTTAGTTTTCTTTTTTTTTTCTCCTTGAAATAAAGTGGATTTGAAAAAGAATCATTTTTTAGAAATATGTCTTATTTATGATTCACAGTCACTCCCTGAAGAGGGGATGACAGTCACCTCATTTAGACGGATGTAGCCAGAGGCTCAGAGAAAAGTTTTCGAGGACCTTGGTCAGTGGTCACCCAGTCGGAAACTGTGAAGAGCCAGAACAAGGTCCAAGTTGGTTTACTCCAGAGCCTCAGCTGTTCACATCTATGCTCAAGTGGTTAAAAGTGACATTTTGAACACCAAAAAGGAGAACCAACTAACACACATGATTAACAAAATCAATTATTGTATAGAAGGCAGACTGCCTGGATTCTTAAAAAGATAATAGGCTTTATCTAGGACAGGAAAAAAAAAAGTAGGATTCTAATAATGTCTGCTCTGTCTCTCTCTATGCAGAGCGATTTTATGTGTGTCAAGGTAACAAACACCATTTCTGAGTTTGACAAAGATGAAGTTGAAAACATATATGATCCTGACTTGTTAGCGTAGTGACAATCATGAAATTCATTAATTCCATTAAATTTTTGCTTGGGGGGAGTGGAATTTAGGTTAATATACCTGCCTATAAAAATAGACTCCTGCAGTGTTAAAATAGTATACTGCTTTATTGCTATTGCAGAATCAGAGTTTGAACAGGCCTAGTGAGAGAGAATGTGTTTTCCTGTTACCTCCACAGAGTAGTAATTCTGATTATAAAAAAAAAAAAAAAAAAAAAAAGGACCATTCAGTAACCGGACATGTTCTCACAGATCACTGGGACGAAACTGCGTATTCCTGAAAGGTTAATCATCGCCTTTTATTATGTGCCTCCCTCCAGCTGTTATTAGTGTATTGGGGTAGCTAATTTACTAAATGAGTTCTGAAATCCTGTACTAGTTTATTTCCAAGAAGGTGACATCAAGAAACTAAACCCTGATACCATGTGATGTTTCCCTTTGTATCACATATTTTCTGGGTGTAAGGAAAAAATGTCATTAGATCTGGATCTAATTGAGTTCCACAAAACAGCAGCTACAGTCATTGTTGGGCTGAATACTTTCTGCCCAGGAAAATTATTTTCACTTTCCCTCCATTGCAGCAGATTTATTGTAGCCTTAAGGACAGGCTGAAAATTACATCGCCCCACGTGAGAAAAAGTTCTGGTAAGTTTGCAAAGCATTCACTAGATCTCCTGAAACCTCACAGCAGACAGTCAGGAAGTCCTATACTGACTCTCAGGAATCCTGCTGTGGAACCTGTGTGATGAGGGTCTCCTGAGGTTCTGGCCGTCCTCTCTCATTTCTTTTAACTCTCACTAGATCTCATGCACAGTAAGGTAATTTAAAAGAATTGCTACAGTGTCTCAGTTTTAGCTATTCACAAATCAGGTACCCCCATGCTAACAAAGCAATGTACCAGGTATAAACTCCTCGGCCGATTAAAAAACAACCACCCTTCATAGAAGAGCCTGCCACTTCCACAGGAAGACAGGTGTGGAAATGGAACACTGGCAGACAAAGCAGAGACGTCATGCTTACATTTTCCACCTAGCAGCAGAGACACTGACTTCATCTCCCCTCTACAGGAAGGGGTTTTGGAAAGTTCCATAAATTTTGCCAACCAGGTCAGTGAGTTCACAGTGAGCCATCCGCCCCTTGAAGATTACTAATCTCATTGTGTACACAAAGATCATCACAGTTGTGACAAGAGAAACCCAGCTTCCACAATTTTCAAGCCTGAAATGTCTTCTGTCAAGTGCGACACTAACTTTATGGACCTCCACCCCCAAATGCACCCCAATTACAACTGCATTAGAAAAAGATTTTTGTGTCAGTTACCTGTATGAAGGACCAGGCATCCTCCAAGACACTTCTAACTGTTGCTAGTTAACAAAACAAATCTTTGTACTCGTTCGCGTGGAGTTTCTGGTTACTTTCACAACAAATTGTTTAAAAAAAATTTTTTGGGGGGGTCTATTTTTGAGGCAGGGTCTCACTATGCAGTTTAGGCTGGGCTTGACTTCACTTTGTAGCCCAGGTTGGTCTCGAACTCGTCACGATCTTCCTGGGTCAGCCTCCCAAGTGCTGAGATTACAAGCGTGTGCTACAAAACTTTTTTTAAAAAGTGCAAAACTAAAGGAGATAAACGGGTGTACGGTATATTATTTCATCAGCTTATTCAAATCGTGAAAACTTAAATCACTCGGGGAAACTGATTAACAGGTGCTAAGGAGAAGACAAGCACCTATACCAGGCACTCATCCGTTTCCATTTGGGACAATCAACTGACCACCCAAGTCACGCAGGACAGAGTCTGTCACATTCTGTCACTGTAGCCATTACCACCCGGACGTCTCCCGATCTTGTAAGAAACTGGTCCTGCTCTACCTCCATGAACTTTACACCGGCAAGCTGACACCTACATGTCCAGTTTTGGGAGTTGGCCGCGCAGAGAGCAACTCCAGGTTCTGCTAGTAGAAGAGATGCCAGGTGGCGGCGGCGATGTTTTCAGTGGCACTGGATCAGCCAAGGGGCGAACGGATGCTGCAGCCTGGCCTCGCCCGGGTTAACCAGCCCGGGAGGGCGCAACTGTCCCCGAGGCCGCCGGCGGTCCCTGTCCCCGGGACTCGCGCTGTGCCTCGGCCTCCGCCTGTGCGTGGCAACGCTACAGGCTCGTCTCCGCGGCTTGCTCAGAAGAGCTATTTTCGCCCACAGCCAAAATCAGCAACAGCAAATTACACTGCAAACAATGGCGAGGGCGCCTGCCCGCTTCGCGCGGCCGCAACTCCGGAGAGCCAGCGCCGAGGCGCACGGACTTTGCACGCGGGCGCAGGGCGCTCGGGCTCCGCGCCGGCCAGGGGGACGCCAGGGGAGGTGGCCCGGCCCAGGGACCGGTCCGGGGACCCGGGCACCGGCGGGCAGGCTTCCCTCGCGTCCGCGCGAAGAGCGCCCCCGGCGGGGCGCGACCTGTCGAGGACCCCGGGCGCCGGATCGGGGTCTCGGGGCTGCGGTCCGGGCTCCGGCGCCCCCGCCCCGCGCGCCCCCGGCAGCCGGAGGGGCGAGAGTCTGCGCGGACCCGGAGCCGCCCGCCCGCCCGCGCCCCCTCCCGCGCTCGGCGCCGCCGCCCCTCCCGCGTCTCACCCGCCGCTTGCAGCGCTGGTGCCGGCCCGGGTCCGAGTAGGTCCGGTCCACGGTGAGCGCCGTGTCGCTGCCCGGCATCGCGCCGCCGCTCACGCCGGGAACTTTGCCGCCACCGCCGGGGCCGCGGCGCCGCTGGCTGCCGGAGCGCGCGCGGGGTCGCCCCGGAGCCCGGCCGAGGGGGGCGCGCGCGGCCGCAGCTGTGCCGACTCCCGCCCGCGCGGCCGCCCTGCGCTGCCGGCGCCGGGGCGGGGCGGGGCGGGGCTCGAGGCTCCGCCCCCGCCGCAAACCCGGCTCCAGGTGCAGTTTCCAGGCCCCCCTCCCGGCGGAGCTGAAACTTCTTCCACCCCTTGCTCAGAAGTCCTCGGTCCTCAAACGAGCGCCGCTGACGCAGTGGACTTACCTGTGCGCTGACGATGAACGACGGCTTTGAGAGCAACACGCTGACGCCCGCTTTCAGTGCGTCCATGCAACAGGCACTACCCTCAGCTCCTAGCGACCGGACCCTGGGCGAAGGACTAGCAATGTTATTTAAAAAGCCGGTTTCCCCCCTCTGTCAAATCACTGAGCACACAACATAGTTTCACTTAAACGAAGATCCTTCTGTGTTGTATATTTGCATTTCTGCATGTCTGACTTAGCATGCTGTAAGCCACTGGGAAGTCCAGACCTAGCTTTTCCTTTAGTGCAGTATTCGTCGCCGTGCCCAGTGAACAGTTCCTGCCACAAAGTTGGAGCCAGAGTAGAAACAGAGTGATGAGCAATTAAACAGTCGATTCCTAACACAAAATTCGGAGCACCTGGTCTGGCTGTGCCCCCGTAGGGGGCTGCTTGGCATGCTGAAAGAGCTCCTGCGGGGAGGAGCAAGCTCTGTTTTTTGTTTTGTTTTTTTGCCTTTTTTATTTTTATCGATACCAGGGATCGAACTCACGACTGCTTGCTTGCAAGGCAGGCGCTTATGCCGCTGAGCTAAATCCCCAGCCCCAACAAGCTCTGTTTTCAAGGGTGGGAAATCTGGCCTTGTTCTGTGGGTGCTGAGCAACTGCTGGAGAGAGATAACATCAAAGCAAAATTCAAGAAGTTGGTCGGGCTAGTGGTGACCCTTACCTGGAATCCCAGCACCTGGGAAGCTGAGGCAGGAGGACTACCGTGAGACCCCAGCTCAGGAACAAAAGGACTGAGGATGTAGCTCTGTGGAATGGCTCTGTCTCCAGCCCTTTGCCCCAAAAAGAAGACAGTGTCTGACAGTCTGAAGCACTAATTAAAGACAGGTAAGGCAACTGGGAATCCAAACGTCTTCAAAAGCAAACTGAATCATAATATCATGGCACATCCATCTAGTACAATATTAGCTAAGTGGAATGGAATGGGACAGCTCTTTGTGTGTAACTATGAAATTATTTTTCACAGTAAGATGTAACGGAAAACCACGGTGAATGTTTAAGTTTAAAAAAATTATCGCAACAAAAGACACACACACAGCCATTGATTGTCCCCAGAGTGCTCCCCCTCACTTTGAACACACTTGTCCTGTCATTCACGATACTTTGCAGAGCAGTTCGGGAAGTCCACTCTCGTCAGGATTTAGCTGTGCTGGGGTGGCTGCCTTGAGGTCCTGAATCAATTGCAAACACTTCTCGTGGTCAGTTTGGCTTTGGTGACGAGCCAGGAGGCCCAGGGTGCCAGGTCTGGTGAATAAGGTGGAGGAGGACAAGCTGCAGTGTGTTTATGAACCTCCCGTACTCAGGAGCAGCCCTCAATATATTTTTTAATCACACTTCATGAAGCCACTGATGGAAGAGGCTGATTCGAAAGTATCAAAAATGCTAAGTATGTGCAAAGCCAGGATTTTCGAGGGGGGCGGATGGCAATGTGTCTTTTATTCTAAGACCCTTTTTAACTTAAACACCCCTGTGTGTTTTGATCACGTCTCTATAGTTCAGTGAAAAAAGCGATGAGCAGAATAATGTAGATGGTATTCTGTCATTTGTGTAAAAATAGTATGTATTTATATATACATGTATGGTTATATATACATAACTCGTTTCTGGGAGGATAATCAAAAAACTATAGAAACAAATAGACAAGAAATGAAGCCAGGTGAGGGAAACTAGGTAGCTACAAGCAGAAATAGAAGAGGTTTTTTTTTTTTTGGACTGTGTATGCTTACTTATGGCATACACTCAGAAAGTGTGTTCAGAAAGCAAAAAAATGGGGATTTTTTTGTTTGTTTTTCCGAGACACCATCTCACTATGTGTCCAGGCAGCCTTGAACTGACTGGCAGCTTAGGCTGGCCTCAGTCCTCCTCCCTCAGCCTCCTGAGTGCTGGGGTCACAGGTGTGCGCCAGCACGGCCCTGCCAAAAATGATTTTACTTAAAGAGAGTAAACTTTTTAAGCCCAATTTAAGAAGAACCAGGAAAGCTAGTCCAAAAACCCTCCAAAAGATAAATAAAAACTTAAAGATCCCCTCCTCCTCCAGCAGGCCCAGATAGATTTTCAGATATGTTCTCCCAAAGCAGAGAAGGGAGAGAACACATGTTAGGGGACATAAGTGACAGGACATTTTAGCCAGGGTGGCCGGAAAAGGCCAAGTTGATAAGGCAGCATCTGGGCAGCGATGGGGGAGTGTGTGTATCCAGAAGTAGATATGTGGAAACTTCCGTCAGAGATCAAGCCAAGGCCCTGAGGCAAGCACACTGTGGGAATGTTCTAGAAGGATCAAGAAGGCCCATGTTTTCTGAAGGAGAAAAGATCAGAGAGATCCTGGAAGACCAGATCACACGTGACTTTTTAGGCCAGTTTAAGAATTTTGGCTTTAACTGTAAGGAAGAAATAAAGATTTGAAATTTTTTTCAGTTATTTTTCATTAACAATGCAAAGAACACTTTGCTATCTCTCTCTCTCTTTTTTTGTCCTGGGAATCAAACTCCCAACCTCATGCTTGCCAAGCAGGCACTGTGCCACAAAAATCTGAAAATTTTTGAGCAAAGGAGTAACATGATTTGCCTTTTCTCTGAGGCATAAAGAAAAATTCCTACTTTAAGTACCAAAATCAATACCAGAGATGGTAAAGACCCAAAGGAGGGGAAAAAGAAAACCTTAAAATAGAAGAAAATGAAAGAAGATCATTATGGTCATAAAAAGCAAGTCAAGAAAGCAAGTCACAAAGAATATAAACCATAAAAGTTTGACAACATTAAAAAATGTAGACTTCTGTATACGGAAAGAAATAAAAGAAGAAGTTACAGTTCCAGCTTTAAAAAACCATATGGGTAAACCTCACAAACAATACTGAAAAACAAAACAAGTAACAAGTCATAGAAAATGACATGTAGTAAAAGTCTCTTTATATGAATCTTTAAAATATTTTAATATTTAATATTTAATAAAACTATTAAGAAAAGCAAGAACTGACAGATTTCAGGACAGTACCTCGGTGAGGAGATGAAGGATTCAATAGAGAATAAGACTGTAAATTATGCTCTTTTTTTTTTTTTAGTAAGCAATACTCTTTAATAAATGATTATTGGTGCTTGGAGCATGCATTCATATTCATCCTCATGCACATAATCTTTCAGAATAATTTAAAACTTTAAAGGCAACAAATGTTATGATGTTATCCTTAAGCCACTAGTAACTTCTGAAACAATAGCTCTTACAAACATAAAGCCTGATGTGACTGTTACTATGAAGTCATTGTGTCAACCTCATCTTCCAAAGATCCGTTCTGAAAATCTGTCAGAGCCCATCTCTGGATGTCCCCTCTTCCCTGCCTGTCCCTGCTGTCTGTACCCCGCTCCTTAGAGTTACAGGAAGTATACTGTGCAGGGGTGTGTGTGTAACTGTGTAAAGACATTTAGAGTGGCCGGCCTAAGTGAGGCCTTTGCTCAGCATGCAGCCGGGCACCTCCTTTCCATATCCACGCCCGTCTTGGTGTTCCTCAGAAGAACCGTGTCCTGAGATGCTGACCACAATGAGAGGGATGAATTCATTATCACATCTGATTAAATTTCAGTGAGCAGAGGATGTTCTTTTTTTAGATCATTTAGATTTATTTCATAAACTGATTGCCCAGAAGCAGCTCTGCTGGACACTAATATAAAATAAATTTTTCAGTACACAAATTAAATAGCAGAAGAGCAAGCTCCCCAGAAAAGAAAGGAACCAAGCAGCGCTCATCAGCATCTGGCTGTCCTTCTGGGAAGTGGGGCCCCAGTGGGAAAGTGACCTCCCTTTCCTCTGGGGGCAATGCAGCCGTCCAGGGTTTGGCAGGAGGTGGCAGAGACAAGTCTCCCGAGGTAAGAAAGCTGACTGACACCTCCACGGGCCTCTCTCTGCACAAAGCAATGGAGGACCTGACGAAGTTTAAGTGGCGCCGCAGTGACACGGAGGAATTCAAAGGTTCGCAGCTGGGGGATGAAATGCGAACTTTCTTCCCAAGCGGAAGGAGCAGGAGGCAGCTTGCGCTAAGCACCAAAAAAGCAGAACAAGTCGGAGTTCACCACGATGAGGTCAGACGTGACAAATGGAGGACGTGCATGGCTTTGTGGTCCAGGCTTGTCGGTTTTGCGTGCCCAACATCCAGCCTGGTCTCTGCAAACGGCTCCTAGATTTTCTTTTGGGACCCAGAGCTGACACTTAACCCAAGTGGTGCAGGCGAGGCAGAGGCAGGCCCTGGCTCTGGCAGAGGCCCGTGATCCAACCTGGGGCGGTCAGAGTTCCTGTGACTTGAGCAGGGATCAGCGTGTGACCTTGTCACAGCCAACCCGAGTTCCCCCAGGCTGTGAGGGACAGAGTTGCGCCCATCTAGAGAAAAAGACTCCCCACCCGGAGTCACCAGGAACGTCAAAGATGGTCATGCCCTTGGTACAGTGGCAGGAAAAAGGAAATGGTGACACGGCCTTTAGGGTGTCTCAGTCTTACCGTTATCATAGGAAAAGGAAAGAGACAAAAGGAAAGTCTGATTTTCATGGTGAAAATGCGTGCCTCTCTGCAAGTAAAGGGATGCTATTTCTTTTCATGTGCTATTTTAATTAAACCGTACAGAGAAGATGTCCCTTTGGGGAAAAATCATAAAACTAAAATAATAGTAAGGGTCCTTCCACTTAAAGATTTAAGGACAAAGAGAGCAAAAGAAAGAATCAGATGTTTAAAATCTATTCAGATAGCAAGGCGTGGTGGTGCCTGTAACC